GGCGAGGGCATGTTCAGTAGAGCATCAATTTGCTTCGGATTTGCTTCGATGCCTCGGTGAGTTACGAGATATCCCAGAAACTCGCCTGATTTTACCGCGAAACGACACTTTGCCGGGTTGAGCTTCATGTTATGCTGGTTAAGTTGCCGAAAGCAGTCGCGTAGATGGGCTATATGGTCGTTTTCTTCGAGGGATTTGACTAGCATGTCATCGATGTAGACTTCCATCATTTTCCCAAGCTGCTCGGAGAACATCCTGTTAACGAGCCGTTGATACGTTGCGCCAGCGTTTTTGAGCCCGAAAGGCATGACTTTGTAGCAATAAATACCTCGGTCTGTGATAAACGCTGTCTTCTCGCGATCATCGGGGTGCATGAAAATCTGGTTGTATCCCGCGAAAGCATCCATGAATGATAATAACTTGTTCCCCGCGGTTGCTTCCACTAAGCGATCGATGTGTGGGAGCGGAAAACTATCTTTAGGGCAAGCTTTGTTCAGATCGGTGAAGTCGACGCAAACTCTCCACTTGCCGTTCTTCTTTTTAACCACGACAGGATTCGCCAGCCAGTCCGGGTATCTTGCTTCGGAGATCGAGCCGATCTTCAGGAGCTTTTCTACTTCGGCGTTCACGGCATCTGCGCGATCCCGACCCAATTTTCTTCGCTTCTGCTTGATGGGCTTGAAAGATGGGTCAACGTTCAGCTCGTGGCAGATTACGTCGATGCTTACTCCAGGTAGATCTTCAGCCGACCAGGCGAAGGTGTTGATGTTCTCTTTGAGGAATGAGATGAGCTCGGTCTTGATTTCCTCGGTTAAGTCGCTGCCAATTTCCACGCATCGTTCGGGCCGTTCGTCGTCGAGACTAATGGAGATTACAGGATCCGAGGTAGGCTTCTTCTCCTCGCGCGCCTCCTCGATCTGTAATTGCTATAACTGTTTAGATATAGCCTTCTCTTCACTTCGGCCAAGTTTTGATTTCTTGTGATCGGTTTCAGCCTTCGCTTCGGTGACAGGGTTTCAGAGTTTATGCGCTGCCATGTAACACATCCGTGAATTTTTCTGGCTGCCCCAGATTGTTTTCACGCCACTGGGGGTCGGGAACTTGACACAGAGGTGATAGGTCGATGCGACAGCTCGCATCAGATTTAGCCACGGCGTGCCCATTATAACGTTGTAGATGGTAGGTTGATCGGTGACTGAGAAGTTGACTACCTTTGTCACCCCGCCGGCTCGGACTGGTAATTGAATGGTTCCGAGCGTCATCAAAGTTTCCCCCGAAAATCCAAGGACAGGCCTCGGGGCCGGTGTTACCTGTGACATATCGATGTTCATTTGTCGGAGCGTTTCACGGAAAATCACGTCGATGGTGCTACCGGTGTCGACCAATATTCGGCAAACGTCATGATCTCCTATTGCTAACATGATGACGAGGGGATCGTTGTGGGGCATGTCGAGCCCGTTCGTCTCACTTTCCTCGAATGTGACTATGTCGTTAGGTCGGTCGAAGGGTCTCGTCCAATTGCTAGGCGCCTCGGCTCGGCGTTGATACGCCTTGATTGCGGCTACGGTATCAGGACAGTACGGCGATCCACCCATTATGGTGAAGATTTTTTGCCGTGTATTATCTCGGTCTTCGTCTTGATTTTCCCGAGTTCTCTTCGGGGCATCCGTGTTCCTTGGCTCGGGGTCCCCTGCGGCGTTGGCCTGCTCGGGCTGATCCGGCTCCGGCTCTAGGTCCTTGAGTGTGACGTTCGTCCCGAGCTCTCCTGCTAAGAATTTCGTTGCTAATTTAGCGCCGAGGCTCCGGCACCGTGAGGTATGGTGGCCGTAGATTTTATGGTGCTCGCAGTATTCTTGATCGTTGCTCGGTGGCTGATCTCTTGTCCAAGTGTAGGTTTCTCTTCCTCGCCCACGACCTCGGCCTCTGCCGCGGCCTCGGCCACGAGGAGTGTCGATCTGGTAGTTGTGAGCTCCCTTAAAATTGCGCCCTTCATGATGTGTATACGTCCCGCTCTCGCGAGCTTTCTTCTGTACCGGAGGTGTTGCTTGAGTCTTCTCGGTTCGGGGCGTTTGCTTCGTCGGCTCGTTCCTCTTTGCTAGCAGCGCCATCTCTTCTTCATGGGCGACGAAGTCTGAGGCTCGGTGCAGCGCGTCGCGAATTGTCGTAGGTTTGGATAGGTTCAGCTCTTTTCTGAACTCGGACTTGTACCAGAGAGCTTTCTTCAGGGCCGAAAGGGCGGCTACGTCCGTGATTCCTTCAACCTTGGCTAGCGTTGATTTGAAGGTCGTGAGGAAATCTCTTAGCGGCTCGGTGGGCTGTTGAGACAGAGACCACAGATCTGCGTCGGAGGTTCCGGGGTCGATGAGCACGGAGTATTGCTTGAGGAAGAGCGTCGACAGCTCGTCGAAACTGTCAATCGAGTTTCGTTCCAACCTTGAAAACCACTCTAATGCGGGTCCTTTGAGGTGTTCCACGAACAGTAGGCATAGACCGGCATCCTTCTCTCCGGGCTTGAATCTGGCTCGGGCCACAGATATCACGAACGACTTAATATGACACTTCGGGTCGGTTGTCCCGTTGTAGGTGTCGATTTTGAACTTCCCCAGATTGGACATCGTCGTTTCGGAAATTCTTTTGGTAAAAGGCGTATTCCGAGATTCTTCCAAAATTCGGTCGATGTTAGGTGCGGAGGATGAAACGCTATGTATCTGGGTTTTGACGAGCTTCATATCGGCCTCCGCCTTGGCTAGGGAGGCTCGGATCTTGCTGAGCTCGTCTTCTCTTTCGGATTCTTCGGCCCATCTTATGTTTTCTTCAGTTTCCTCGTCATCAGTGAGGTCGGTTCGTTCGACAGAGTTAGCTCCAGCTCGGGTACGCTCGTTTTGTGGATCATCCGGTTCGTCTGTTGGATCCACTGCATCTGGCTCGGTGGGATCTTCCTGATCCTCGCGTCTGGCAGGATCGGCTCGGGTTGCAGCTCTGGTGTTACCTGTTGGCGTTGTGAACGTAAGTCTTGTTGGGTTGAGACCAGGCAAGTCCCTCCGGGCTCGTGGCGGTCGAGTCTGGAAACGCGTGGTTTTGTGTTGCCCACGGGATGCGATTTCATCGATTTGCAGCGCCAAGGTCTTGTTAGTTTTCTCTTGATCGTCAGCTTTCTTCTGGAACTTAACCATCATATCCTTCAGTTCGGCTAGGGTCGCTGAGATTGCTGGATCGGCTTGAGGGTTCGGAGGATTAGGATTGCCTCCTCCGGCTGGTGGTGGTATCTGACGACCGTCCTCGTTCATCGTCTTCTTCGGTAGTTGAGTTCTGCGTTCTTAGAGTAAGAGAATTCTAAAGTATCCCCACAGACGGCGCCAAACTGTGGAAGTCGAAACTAACACAATCGAGATTTGTCTAGGGTTTTATTTTAGGGATACAATAAACGAGAATTCTCAAAGAACAAGAGAAAGAGCGATGACCAAAGATGGTGTTCTTGATATTATTGATGAAAAGTATTGCTTTGATCGTACAAAGAGTTAGATCGTAAAAAGAAAAGTGTTTTTGCTTCAGAGCTTTGTGTAGTCTAAAATCTAGAGCGATATTGCTTGGTTCAAAGTGAGAGCCTTGAGTCTCTTTATATAGGGATGATAGGCCGCCTCTCCAGCGATATTCTCGGAAGATTTCCATTTATCTTGAAGTCGGCTTAGAATATCGCGGATTAGGATAATTTCCTTATTCTTCGGAGTTCTTTGGAAGATTTCCTGATTTGAGTCGATCTTCGAAGATTCTCCTTTATCATTTCCGGGTATATCGGAAATGATGCTTTGCTTAGAAATGATACCTTTGAAGGTGAATATATGCTAAGTAGTTGCCTCGGGTGTCTTGATGATTTCGCCTCGGGCACCTTGGAGACTTCCTAGTGCTCGGCTCGGGAGACAATGTGATGTTGGGCTCGAACCGAGATATTCGGCGGGCTCGGGTATCCGCGAGGGAAACGGCTTAGGTACCCGAACCGCAGATGTGCTCGGTTGCTTGGATGTAGAGCGAGCTCGGGTGTTCCAACCAAGGAAGGGCTCGGTCGTCAAATCGGGTTCAGACATTGGGCTCGGTGTCCAGTCGGCTTAGCAGAATCCCGAACCGGGTGGCAAAGTGCACGAGCCGACCAGCGTAGAACACGAGCTGGCAGAGAGATCGTTCCGAGCCGTTTTGAGAGGGTCCCCGAGCTGACGTGCACGTTTGTTCGAGGCGTTTTATGTTTGGCTCGGTTTTAGGTGGATGGAATCCGACCCCAACAAACATCCTAACTAAACCATATTTGCTAACACTACTTTGAAAACAGAGATTCAAATAAGTCTAAAATCTTATATTCAAATACATCACATGTTTAACTAAATTAAAGTTCTCCATTTCTTATCAATAGAAGACATTAAAAAAAAGATTACTTGGTTGAATCAAACTCAATCGATAAATATATGAATTATATAGGATTTTCGATTTACCTTATTGCCATTTTAAAGGTCCCTATTTCTCTGTTCCGAAATCTTCACAAACAACAAACCAAGTTTCCTGTATAATAAACCCTTTTTCAGCGCAGAGAACAACTTAATTTCGACGATGTAAGTTTAAATTGTAATTTCTGATTAAGAATCGATTGCAAATTAAATGGATCTTATAGATGTAAAACATGATTTTTCCTTACCTCTTTGATTAAAATTCCAGTGGTTTAAGCTCACAACGACACAAATCGGAGCTGCAATCTATCAAATGATGGGTCTGTAGGATAGTTAGATTTCATTGCAGAAGAAGATTGGAGATTTCGTCTTCTTCGTTTGAGATTTTTTTTTTTTCCGGTTGTTTGTACACGTTACACGTATTTCACTCTTGCAACAGACACATTTCATACTGCAATCGTTATTATTTGATAATATCTAAGCCCAGTTCCATTAATATCCAATCAAATGTTGGGCTTCATATTGGGCCCTATTATAACAAATATCTAACACAAATAACCATGTCTTATATATTATGTAATTTTAATTCGTCTACACTACATTCACATTCCAATAACGACAATAAACCACAAACAATGTTAAAAAATCAAATCACAAACAAACGTAACGAAAAATCTTCCCCCGCGGTGGCACCGCGGGCTCTAACCTAGTAACCAAATAAGTACAAACAATCATAAACAAACATTCATATCAAAAGTCAAAAACAACCATTCACACAACAAAGAAAAAATAAAACTACTTACTAATTCTCAAAACATTCAACATGAGAGTATTTTGAAGAGTACCTTGAGATACTCTTGGTTGAGCAGAATGTGAGTAGGAGTAGCAGTAGTAGAGTCAGTTTCATTGACAGAATTGAGAGATCCTTCATCACTTGTCATCAGTTTAACAACTTCCTCTACATCAATTACAAGATACTTAGCTCGTTCATCGATGAAAATTCCATCTTTACGAGTGCAAGTCCTCCGTACAAGTTCTGTAAAAGGTGGTGGTTGATCAGAACCTAACTCAATCATCTGCACAATCAAAGAGAAAAAAACATATGTATAAAATGATGGATTTGCAAATTAATCTGCCATTTAAATACCAAAGATAGTATTTTCAATTAATTATTAAATTTTTTATAATAGAAAAACGATTATGACTTTATTAATCTCCCATAGTCTTTAACCCATGGCGCAAAGTGTTGGTCTTTAACTATTTGCATATCTTTACTAAAAATTTCCGGAATGCGCTCCGTCATATACTCTTCAAACATCCTATACACATTTTTGGAAGCAAAATAATTTAAATTCATAAACTAAATATGGTAAGTCGGTAACCATAGAAAATGATAACAATTAATACTTTTCATAGGCATCAAATGAGTCACAATTAAGCAACATAGACGTCTGAAACGCCGTGTAGTCATCATCTGTTTACAATTTATTCATTGCTTTTCCACTAACATGACCCTCATGGTAAAACAAGTTAGGCACATATGGATAATAATATGTAAATCTATACCTAAGTAAAACATTGCTTTTCCCAAGCTTTAGAATGAATCAGCTTCTATGTTCAATCCTATACAAATCAGATAAATTGGTTAGCAAATCAGTACATTTGCTAGGTAAATCAACGTATATAGGTTCAAAACATTGAAATTAACTTGAATTACAAACACTTTAAATATATTGATTTCAGAATCAACTGGTCAATCGGAAATAAGTTCTTTCAATGGCATGCGATTACTATTTCAACGAAATTAAGTTTACAAACATCAACAATCGTTACATAAGAACTCCACTTTCGAATTCAAGAGTTTGGATTTAGAAGAACTAACAGAGAAATTGGATCGGAAAAAAAGATTCCAATTTCAATGGAGGTTTGAATCACCTTGATCGTCTAGCACCAATTATGATCTGAAGATTATTGGATCTAAAACAGCTTGGATTTCAAATTCAGATGATTAATCGAGATTGGAAACGAAACAACCAATCTTGTTGATCGATCGTTATTTTTTGCCTGCTTAATGTTTTTTTTCTTTGTTGATTATCAGATACATGGTCTTAATTGCGAGGCCTCTTATTTGGCTGCGGTTTCGTTAATTGGGCTTATATTCTACTTAGCATGTTTATGTTGTTAAGTATGTGATTACATGATGCAAACTAATTAAAAGAATCATATTCTTACCATAAAACAAACATAATTTCAGTTAAAAATTGTCTTTATAGACATATTTACAAAGATAAAATTAACATTGTTTTTAAAGTAATAAAAATTATTATACAATCTAGATTGATTCAATATCTATAAATTAAATAAAATTCATTTGAGAATTATATTACTAACGTAAACAAATTTACCTTTAACATATAAAAGCTAAGTACACATATTCCAAATATTCGTCTTACTGTAGAAACCAGCTATATATTTATACATTATCGAATTTTTAAAAATTAAAATCAAATAAAATGATCAGTAGTGAAGGAGTACAAAATTTAATAATGTATACTGTTAATATCAATTAGACCATTACTATAATAATTATGTAACACATATGAACCGATGAAAAACATGTTAGACATTTCTAATATCAAAAACTTATAACACAATCAAAATCACAACCATTCTACGGAATTATCGATCACCACAAACAACATCCAATATTAAATACAACCAATTATTCTTTTCTTATAAGTAACAAATAATAAAAATATTGAACCCGCGGTGTACTGCGGGTCATATTCTAGTCTGGATAATAATATGTAAATAGAAATATCTCCAGGAGCTGCATGTACTTCTCTAACTTCTGGTTGTCCAAAGTAATTTGCAGATGCATCAGATTTCTCTTCATTCAAACATTCCGCAACTATCAAACCTGCAATTCGTGCTAGTTTTTAAATTTCTTCTTCAAATGATACATGTATCTCTCAAAAGGATACATCCACCTATATTGGACAAGACCACCCAAAGCCGCTTCATCTGGGAGTTGCACGGGAAGATGTTCCATAACATCAAAGAACGATGGAGGAATACCTTCTCCAAGTTACAAAGTTTCATTGCGATATTTTCTTTCAACATGGTAACATCTTCATTTCGTAAAACTTTTGCTGATATATCCTGAAAGAAGAGTGCAATTTCTACACAGATATAAAATAGCACTTATTAGTATTTTATCAATAGAATTGTAAATTGGATTTAAATAAACATAAATAATACATTACCTGAAATTGCGGTGTGAAATTTTTTTGGGAAAAGTTTTCAAAAACGCAAACGGAAGAAGTCGTTGCATAATAACATGACAATCATGACTTTTTAAACCCGATAACTTCAAATAATTTTCGTCAATACAACGACTAAACTTTGACGCGGATCCATCTGGAAATCTTATATCATTCTTCCGCCATAGGAGGAATTCTCGTTTTCCTTCGTTCGATAATCTAAAATTTGGCACAGGCATCGTTCCATCTTGCTTAAGAACTAATTCCGGCCTATTACATAATGTTGGGAGATCCATCCTTGATTTGATGTTATCTTTTATCTTTCCTGGAACATTCAACACCATGTTGATGAGATTTTTTTTTAACGTTTATGAAGTCAAGGTTATGTCGAAGAAGAAGGTTTTCCAGTACGGCAACTCCCAAAATATACTTTTTCACCCAATTGTGATCAACTCTGTATCCATTGACAGTTCTAGCGGGCTTCTCGTGCCTGTTTCTTCCACAATCGGCTGTTCTGTACAACCCCTTGATGTTATTTATTCTTTCGTAACCATGGTGGACGATCTTCTATTATTGTTTTGCCTCGTCAAAACGCTTGCACATTTTGGCTGTAAGGATGATTTTCAGGCAAAAACATTCTATGGCAATTGAACCAACTATGCTTTCTGCCATTATGCAACCATAATAATTTTGTCGGATCTAGACAGTATGGACATGCTAAACGCCCATGGATCATCCAACTTGAGAGCATGCCATACGCTGGGAAGTCATTGATTGTCCACATCAATGCAGCTCGCATGGTATACTTTTGTTTCTTTGATATATCATATGCTTCCGCACCGTCACTCCACAAACTTTGCAATTCTTCAATCAACGATTGAAAATAAATATCTAGACTTTTCTTTGGATGTTTTGCCTGTGAACTAGTACCGATAAATAAAATATTCTCTTTCATGCACATGCAGGGGACAAATTATAAGGAGTGACTATCACATGCCAAACTCAGTGTGCCTCACTATTCATACCAATAGGATTAAATCCATCTGCTGATAAACCTAGATAAATATTACGACTTTCCGCAGCGAACTCGGGATATACCTCATTAAAATACTTCCATGCTACTCCATCTAATGGGTGATGCATTTTTTCTTTAGGAGACAAATGTTCAGTGTGCCATTGCATTTGGGATGCGGATTTCTCTAATTGGTAAAGCCGTTTCAACCGCTCTGGCATATAAATCCATTTTTGTTTCGGCCGATTTTTTCTCTTCCCACTGTTCTGGTGGTATCTATCTTTATCACAAAACCGGCAACATAATAGTGATTGATCTTCCTTCCAACAAAGCATGCAATTATCCTCACAAACGTCAATCTTTTCAACAAGTAGCCCAAGTGCTCGTGTCAATTATTTGTCTTGTAATATGATGCATGCATTGTATTTGGCTTGGGCAACACATCTCTAAAAGTCTGCGATATCTCATCCACACATGCCTTAACCATATTGTAATCGCTCTTTGCTTTCAATATATGCAAAACTACATATAGTTGAGATATTCCTTTAGCACAACCATTGTAAAGGGGTTGATTGGCTTCTTCAAAAGCTTCAAAAACGCTATCATGATATGGCTCTTCATTGGTTGATTCCATCACATTCTCCATAACATGGGGCGATGACACATCTTGTCCCACATTAATATTTCCGTACCGGAAATTTTGATAACTTTTTATCGGAAAATTGTAGGTTTTCCATCCCACATTGCTTCTTCATCGGTAAAATGATTTGCCCTCGAAGATTCGCCAACATCATAATAATATTCTCCATGGTGAAACCAAACATAGTAGTTTTCCTTAAACCCGACTTGACAAAGATGACTAAATATAGGTTTTGCCTCACGTTGCTTTCTATTTTTACATCTTGCACAAGGACACAACATAGTACTTCTCTCTTGGTAAGATGCTTGATTACAAGCAAATGCAAAAAATATTTCAACTCCCTCATAAACTTCATTTGTTACTCAATTTGTGATTGCATCTTTATGTTGATCCATCCACTCTCTTGATGAAAAATACTGAGACATAAGAACTAATAAACAAAAGAGAAAATGATTGAGAAATTTGAGAGGAAGAGAAGTGGTTTGCCCAAAAAAAAAGGAAGAGAAGTGAAGATAAGAAATGAAGACAACATAAAAAAATTATGCGGTTGGAGAGAGGATTTTTGGTTTGTGGAGCTAAAACAGAGTCACGGATAATCCACAGACAACTTTCGTGGCTATAAGAGGTCACAAATAGTCACGTTTTTAAGAGTGTGACTAGTTTTCGAATATATTCTCTGCTCCACTTTCGAAGTCTAAGACTGAGTAGACGATTCTTTTGGTAGAAATATCACGGAAAGTGCTACAAAATATTTGTGGCTGAGATTTCTAATTATGTGATTTGACCATCCTTATAGTCACGAATATTATGTGGCTATATCGTGGCTCGTTAGTCACGGTTTATCCACGGTGTTTGTTCGCGATAAATCAGTCACGTATATATTGTCACTAAAATGTGGCAGTTATTGTTAATTGTGGTAGAATAAGCCACGATTATTCCACGAAAATGTCACGTTTTTGGGATTTATTTTTTCCGTGGCATTCGATGACAACTTCGTAACTTATTGGAAACTAGCCACAGAATCACTGTGACGGTGCCATGGCTATAGAATAAATTTCTACTAGTTTAAATGAAATATGTAAGTATGAATTAGACAACTATTTTGTATATTTAGAAATTCGTAGTTGCAAAATCGGTAATCAGAACGCTACAAATTTAGTCATTTGTATAAATTAGATCTGTATCCGAAATACACAGAGAGATAAATTTTTGTTTTTCTATATGCTAATGTTACCTTTTTACAGTTTTTAGTTTAGTACTAAATTATATGATTTAATTTTTTTGGTGTTTTCTTAGATTTGACATGTGATACATGTTTAATTTAGTAATTTAGTATTAGAATTACATATCTATTGGTGTCAAAGAGATTAACAATTCTATATAACTCATACTACATAAGACTAATGCCAATTCTAACTATTAATAATATTTTAAACTTTGTATAAAATTGAAAACTCATTACTATTTTAAACTTATAAAGTTTAAAGATTTATAATATTTGAAACCTTGTAAAAGTTTAAATATTTAAAATTAATATTTAAAATATTTTGTATATTCGGTAAAATTATTGGTTCAAATAAAGAACAATATTAAACCGAATAAGTCATATTATTTTGTAAGCTAGCACAAAATCAAGATTTTTCCAAAACTGTATACTTTCTATCAAAGATGAGAATGATACAATTTATAGGGGAAGTAAGGATATTGGAGCTCATGCGGAATAGTTTTTCACCAATGTACATAATATCTGGTCACCCTATATCTACCATTGATTTTGCTGACTTTATCCCTACGGTAACTCATGCTATCAACAAAGACTTAACTCAAGACTTTACAAGCAAATAAATCTATGATGCTGTCGGTCTAATTGGTGATGATAAAGCCCCAGGACCTGATGGTTTAACAGCACGTTTCTATAAACAATGCTGGGATGTGGTTGGTGAAGACGTGATTCGGGAAGTTAAATCTTTTTTTGAGACATCTTTTATGAAAGCTGACATTAACCACACTAACATTTTATGCTTCCCAAAATTACTAACCTTATAACCCTTTCGGATTATAGACCAATTGCATTATGCAATGTTCTTTATTAAATCATTTCTAAATGTTTGGTGATGCGGTTAAAGAGGCATTTAAACACAATTGTCTCTGATTCACAAGCGGCTTTCATTCCTGGAAGATTAATAACAGATAATGTTATGATCGCCCACAGGATTATATATGCACTCATTAAAAGTCAGAAAACGATTCTCGCAATCTTATTTGACAGTGAAGACGGACGTTAGCAAAGCATAAGGTTGTGTCGAGTGGAACTTCTTAGAAACTATAATGCGCGGCTGTTTGGTTTTTCTGAAAAATGGATTAGTTAGATTATGGCCACTCAATAATGGTTCTTCGTTTGGCTCAATCACCCCAGAACGTGGAATTCGTCAAGGCGACCCCCTCTCACAATATCTCTTTATATTATATGCGGATATTTTGAGCCACTTAATAAGAAAAAAGACTACTTCCGGTGAACTAAAGGGTGTTCGTA